AACGGAATGACAGGTGGAGATAGAAACGGAGATATCGGGGTTGGGAAGATGGTCGCGGTTGGTCCGCGGAAAATGGTATTAATCAAATGAAGCGGTTTCTGTTACAAGCGAGGCGAAGATGGGTTTGAGCTGTCTGGCCATACCCGGGGGATAATCAATCTGGAGAATTAGATCAGATAGCTGGTACGTGAGCCAACTCCGTCTCCTTAGATTTATCCAGTCGCCAAGAAGCTTGATAAAGTACGCTGCGCAACTTCGATATCGAATGAATTCTATGCTTTTCTGGATATCTGACGAGCGCAATCGTCCACAGTTTTTTATAAATTTATCGACATATATTTGATGGAATTGATAAAATGATTGTACTGTCAATACGTTTTGAGATTATTTTACATGCTATTTATTTAGTTTTCTATCTTTTAAATGAAATTATAATTTTGATTTGAGTACCATATTTTTTTTTTTAACGAGATTTAAAATGTAAAAATAAATGCAAGAAAAAGAAAAAGAAAAAAACATATCTGAGCGAAATTATAGTTATACATTATTTTTTATCTTATATTTTCGGAAGATTCTTTATATTGAAATTTCGAATCGAAAAGAAAGGCGACATCGAGCGAGTCTGGATCGCTGTATATTTTAAGAATGAATAATAACAAAAAATAATGTTTCTTCTTTCCCTTTTAGTTACAGTCTTATTTTCACACGACCTCTTTTAGACGTGATATACGGGGATAGCTTGGTGCACCACTTTCAAAGCTGTGCCCTGTTTTCATCCTACGTACGCAGTGAAAATAGAAAAATTCACCTAGATACGGAACATGCTCTCGTAAAACGGTTCTTCTTCCCTATTTTCTCTCTACAAAGTACTTGAAAAACGAATCTTTCCCCTTGTAAGAATTCACGTATCTAACTCCGCGAAACTGTATCCCATAAGAATCATTTCTGGTTTAAAAGAGGGAGGAATTGCATTGTTTATTCATTATATGTATAATGAGAGAAAAATATTCCCAATATTTAATAAATAATTTAAGCATTGATTACAAAACAAATTATATCATAAAATATATATCAAAAAAACCTTTTGATATATATATTTGATAAATAATTGTAAATTCTAGATATTTTAATGTGAAAAAAAAATCAAAGAAAATAATAATTATAGAAAAATTCTAAAGTTCTAACAAATTTACTTTATCCAGTTTAATATAAATTGTTATATAATATAAATAGTAATATTAATATAATAAAATTGAAAGTTAATTAATTTTATAAAAAGTCATAAATTTGTGTTTTATTTATAATAAATAAATTGTGAAATAATTAATCTAAAACAAAAATACGGTTACTTATTAAAAGTAACTTATAAAATTTCGAAGAATCAAAAAGAACTTTTAAAATTTATAAATATAAATAACTGTAATTTATCGAGGAACGCCAGTTGAAAATTTTATTATAATTTTTTCATTTATTTCTAATCGCTTTTCTTACATTTTATTATGTTTTTTTAATGGCAAATAAAAATTCTGCGATTTTTTTATTATATATATGTTATATTATATTTTATTTATTTAGAGATCTTTTATCTATGATATTTTCAAAATACGTAATCCATGCGAAAATAAAATTTTTGTGAAAGCATTTTAGCTCATATATATATATAAAAGAATAATTAAAATATAACAAGGGAAAAATGGAAAATAGATAATAAAAGCATTGTTTAATTAATTATGAAATATATACTTATCTTTTAATAACATATTAATTAATATTGTACAGACTGTAAAAATTACTTATATCAGTACTATCGGATTAAATGAAATCGTTACTTATTAATTAATTGGATTATGAATATATTGATCTATTAAAAAAAAAAAAAAAAAAAAAAAAAACAGAAAGAAAATTTCTTTCGTTCACTTTATTTTATGTGAAATAAAATCCTGAGATGAATACAATGTTAACCATTAAAATATTAAAATAAATTCATTAAACAATTTATAAAAGACAAATTTATAATGGAAAATTACCTTCGATATAAAGCGTAAAGATTCTTGTTACGACAATAGGACGTTTGATATTTTGATTATTGATTAGCTTATTATTAATATCGCATTGATTACATCTAAGATATATACATACAATTAACAACTAATTGATTATATAGCAGAATAATAATGACATGTTTTCATGCATACTTATATATAAATATGATCTATCGAAATTGAGATAAAATAATACTTATTAAAGGGAGCACTATTTACCAAAAAATACACTTTTTTATATTGATACAAACTGTGATTAGTTTGATTTTTAGAAAATTTGCATGATATTTGAGATTTTTGGAAGAATCTGTAATTTATATCTCTATATCGTATTCCATATCATATTTTGTTGCACCATTTTGCATTCTTACATCATTCAAATACATGTTAGTATATATATGTTTACGACTATTAATACTAAATAATATATTAAAATTAGGGAATCAAATATGTCTCTAAAATTTGCAGTCTTTTGTGAATAGTCGTTATTCACGATTTTGATATATCTAAATTGATTTGATATATCAATATTAAAAAATGCATTAAACACAAGGTTCTACATAATTTCCGGGGAATAAACCTGTTATGCCATCCATGACTCCTTCCCACCACCCATCGTCATTCTTTTTCAATACATAAATTACAGAGCTTTCTTGGAAGCTTAATTCATCTTCCTTGTCAGCATAATAATCATAAATTGCAACAACTAAAATTATAATATATTATTATATTTTAATATTATTTATATTTACTATGTTTAAAAAAAATATCACGACGTACCTTTTTCGATATAATTTTTTGGAACCCAACCAGGCAAATCTTCCTCATCTGGTACAATAGGCATAATAGCACTGCTAGATTGCGTAGGTCTACCAAATTGCGGATGTTCTTCTTGCTCTGGTGGTGGAGGTGGTGGTAATGGTGGGCTACTAGCGCCACTACTTCGACTAACTTGATGATTTAATCTTTCCGACAATGTATGATAACTGGTAAAATCTAATGTATTACCAGTAATACCGACTAATGGTGAAGGTGGGGCTAGAAACAAAAATCAATCTTTATTCTTTGCTTTTTTTTATTTAAAAGTGAATCTAAATCGAAAAAAAAATACTTACGAGGCATATTATTGTGTTGTTCTTGAACATATCCTGCTGTTACACTAGGTGGTGCTGGTGGTGGTGTTTGTGGATGACTTTGCAATGGATGAACTGTTCCTACTTGAGGAGGTGAAGTATGTTGAGATACAGTATTTGTTGTATGTGCATTATGATTGGTATTGTGAGTTGAATGAGATGTGGTATGAGCATGCAAAGGTAAAGTACTATAACCAGGACCACGTTCTCTTCTTGGATGACCCAATGGATAATTAGGAGCATAATGACTAGGAACTTGAGGTGGAGCAACTGCAGGTGGTGTTCTGTATTCTCGTGACCCTTTGCTCAATGTTCCTAAAAAAAAAAACAAAAAATTTATATATTAAACAACTGGAAAATTATTTTAAAACATAGATAAAGATATATTGCATTTTTTTATTTACCAGTTCTTACTGTCTGAGGAGGAGTGGGTGGTTTAGTAGTAGGAGCTGGTCCTACTATAGTAGCACCTAATCCAGAACCCGTGGAAGCTGCACCTAAACTTTGAACACTGCCTTGACTTCCTCCACGTTGTTTACTTCTTGGAGTACCACTACTACGTACTCCATGTCCAATATCATCCAAAATTGTATAATCTATGCTTTTCCTCACATATTTAATTGGTTTCTCAGGATTTGCTGGTGCAATAATTTTATATTGACGTACTGTAATTTTATTGGCGGTTAAAACTCCAATTTCTCTTCTAGCTACTTTTTCTTTGTGTATCATAACTGTTTGAGCAATATGGTTCATTTGGCTTTCCATTTCAGCAAGTTGGGACGTTTGTAAATCCAATAATTGTAAAAAATTATAGGCAAGGGTATTTATTTGATAGGCTACACTGGCCAATGATTGAGTGGTAAAATTTTTGGTTTCTTCTAAAGCTATTCTCTTGTTTTCTGCTTGAAAATAATTTGCTTCGCAATAATCAGCAACCCGTTCAAGATTTATATGATTATCAGCTAAATTACTTCTTCCCTCAGGAATTTCTTGACCAAGAAATGCTGCTAACTCTGCCATCACTTCAGAATCACTGCCTACTCCTGATGATACACAATAAGAACCGGATCCTTAAGAGAACCAGAGTAATATTTTTAAAAATTTATAAATTTCATTTTATGTTTTAATGTAGATGACATTCTGGAGTACACTGAAAAACCATTATACTTTAAAAATGATTTTATAAATATTATTCGCATTGACTAAATTTACGAAATAAAACATGAAACCATATGAACCATAAAAATTTGTTTCAACCTTAAAGAATAAGGTTATGTAATTGAATATAAGAAACTCATAAAAAATTTTTTGTAAATATAAAAAATAATATTTAAAATTACTGAAATTTAAGTTTACGTTCTTTTAATAAAGAAATGAGAAATTATTATATTAATAACTGATTGAAGGGCGGTGTCCCATATATAAGAAGCAAAATGGAGGAGAAACAAATTTTAAGACTAATCATGAAAAATGAAACATTGATACGAGAAATGATTTAAACAAAATAGAAAATGAACTAACGGTACTCAGCCATGTCGTAACTATCAGCTATTACACCTTCTTTAATTCATAATTACCAAAAATCTCCGAAACAGATTAAAATAAATAACGATTTATGTTACGTGATACGACGCTCAGTATAAGCGAATAATGTACTGAAACACTATTGGACAGCGTTTATTAAAATTTTCACGTAATTCAACAAAAGTGTTGTTTATTTTAAAATATAAATACGATAAACTATACACTTATACAAAAATTATATTAAACAGAAAAAGAAAGATTATACGAAAAAGAAAACTAACTCTTAATGACAGATTGTTGGAAGAAACTAAAGATGACAGGTACTTCGAGATTTTATGAGATTCGTATCGATCATTTTTTCGAGATATCGAACGATATTACAAAATATAGTAATTACATTGTAAATTTACAAAGGTAAGCCAGTAGAAGAAATATTCGTTGTAATTAATATATTTAATATTAACATTATGATATATAATTAAAGATTTTTGTCAAAATATTATATGTTCGACTCGATACTCGATAACAAGTAATATATTGCTTTGTGTTGAATGTTCAGATCGTTCGAAAGCAAGTTCGTAAAAAAGTCGACGACTATTTCATAAATTAAAGGTATCAAATCCAATTGAAATACTTACTTAATTGTCGTGACGATCCGGAAAATGATACTTTCTATGTGCACATACGAAACTAATAAATCGTTACGAAAAAGTTGATGCGCAAGAAAATCGTTATCTTTTATCAAACTCTTCGACAAATATTTTTAAAATGAATAATCTTTTGGAAGAATTAGAAGCTCTAAAAATCTCAAGCGAATTTTCTGAGGAAAACTTATGGATAGGATGCAGTAATATTGTCCAAAAGAGTTATGTTCCTGAAAAAACTATCGGTGCTAATCGACCATGCGAAGAAAAAGACTTCAAAGAATATAAACAAATTATAGACAAAAATTTGCAAAATATCAGATCTATGCTTCAGCATATCATTTATAATCGTAATGTTGGACACTTGCAAATAAATTTAAATGCATCAGTGATAAAGACTTTTACTATCAATTTATTATTACTCATTGGAGAACATCATGAAAAAAATGTTTGGAACACTGTAGAATCTGTGTCTATTTCTAAAGAATTGATTAGCGAAATCTTAGAATTATATAAATATCAAAACATCTCAGAATTTTTAATAGAGCAAGATAATTTTACAGTATTATTATTAACAATAAGGCCTAAGTTATTGAAAGATAGTTGGAAACTTTATCCAGCATCCGTAGCATGTTATAAATGGATTTTACATCAAATTGAGGTTTGTAAATTAAAATCATTAAGATTAAATAATCTGTAATCTTATGATATATTAAAATTAATATTTTTTTCTAATAGAAACCAGGTTTATATAATCATATTAGTGATGTGCTTCCAACAGCTTTAATAATTGTTGATGATTATGTGCCAGAAAATGTTGTAATAGGTCTTGAATGTTTACATCAAATTATTCAACATTCTCATTTGGTAAGATTCTGTATTATATAAATTTCAATTATTCAATGATGTATATTAATATTTTTAAATTTGGATATTCAGAAAAAAGGATTGATTGATACTGGATATGCGGAAGTAATTTTTCATGCTTTGGAATGCTTATCGCATCAAAGAGAACCCAAATATATAATTTTAGTATATGTATGCTTAACAAGTTTATTAGCCACTATTGAACATTGGAACAATACATTAAATGTATTTGAAGTAAGTTTATAAAATTGGCATAAGTATTAATTTAAGCATAAATCTTTTAATGCTATATATTGTTATAGTGGACAAAGCGAGATGATATTTTAGCTGTTCTATTAGATAATATGGAATTTGAACAAAATATAGAATTGAGACATGTATATATGCTGAGTTTACCTCAACTCTTGACTAATATTGGTTGTGCCAAATGGTGTGAAAGATTAACAAGAATACTTTCTGAGTATTGTGAACATCATACGGATTTAAAAACATTAAAAGCAACATTAGAAGTAAACATTTTTATATTTTATAATTTATTATTCTTTTATTATTTTTATAATATAAATTGAATATAACTTTTCAGACTGCAAAAACTTTTCTTTTGATGTTTCATCTTCGAGTGGCAGCTCATTGTGTACCATTATATACTGCCTTTTTGAAACTGCATTTTGATTTAACAAAAACTCCAGTATTTGATAAAGAAATAATGCAGAATTTAGAGGACTGTATTTGTTTATTATATAAATTATCTCCAAATGTAGGTTGTGCAGTTATGAATGATGATCGAATGCGTTCAGTTATTAAAAATAGTCTACAAGTAGTATGTTTAGGTGATATTAAGTATTTTCAGTGAATAAACTATATATAAATATATAAATATAAACATTTGTTTTAGAATATAAAATAAATCATGGGCTATATTATTTAACAAAAGAAAATTATTTTTTGTAGTTTCGTAGAATAGTAATGGTAAAAAAAATATAATAATTTGTACTTAGATATTTTATGTTGCAATTTAAGAAATATAAATGTATGATACTTTGTATTATAAAATAGAAATTTTTGTTAGAAACATATTTTTGTTAGTCTATTCTTATACCTATAATAATAAATTTTGTGAAAAATTAAAAGAAAATTATTAAATTATTAAATTAGATAAATAAAGAAATAAAATACATATTTGATTATTAATATGGTAAAATCAATTGTTAATATATTAATAATATATTAATAAACTTATGATAATATTCAATATTCTGATATTAATATAATGTTAAATATATATATAATATCACATCAAATATCACTTTCATCCAAAAGGTTATTAATATATTTAATTATTAATATAAGGATAATTTGATTAAAATTTTATATATTTACTAATTTTACATATATTTTTATTTATTATTTTCTTATTTTATTATTTTTATTTTCTTATTTTGATTACAAATGATAAAAAAGAACTTATTATTAAATTATAAAAAAATATCGAGATAATGAATAATAAAATTATTTAGGTCAAACTACATTCGACTTTGTACGGAAAATTACGATAAATGAATAATAAATTATAGAATTCTAGATTTAAATACAAAAAAAATTTTATAGTATCTTAATGCATATCTTAATTTATTATAAACACAATTTATTAATATAAATTTTTTAAATATTATGTATTTTTAACATAAACAGTTTTTTCAAAAAAGAATAATTAAACATATAAATGTTTTAATTAATTGAAAAATTATTACATTTATTAATTTCTTATTTTTTTTATTTTTCAGTAGAATTTATTTTTTAAAATTATTCAGATTTTCATAATTATAAACGGTACATTTTATACTCCTTTTTTTTTTATGTTTAAATTATGTGTAAATTATATTTAGATCACATATTTAATAAAATATGATTATAAAAATACTTACTTTAAAGTATTGCAATTTTTTTGCATTAAATTTACTAATTTAATAAATTTCTAAGAATATGTATATATTATTTGTTTGTTGAAATTTTATTAATTATAATTTTATTAATTATATAATATTGAAGTTATATAAATTTTTATTGAAATTTATTGTATTTGAATATTTAACACATTCACTGTATCGTATTTGTAAATCTAAAAAAAAATAATTAAATATTAAGATGTTTTTTTTGCAGTGAAACTTATTTTAATTTTAAAACATTTTAAAATTTATTTTCTCAGAAGGAATTGTTATAATAAATAAATAATTCATAATAAAAATAATAGTAGCAAAAAAATAAAGATAACTTTCATATACATACTTATATAATGATAATAACAGATATAATGAAAATTTTTTTTATCTGTGATATATAATAATCTGTAAAACTTTAAAATAAGTCATAAATATAATCATCAAGTCGTGCTTCATATTTGCAAGAAAATGATATCTTTTTTATTTATTAATTATAATATTTTTTTATTAATTATAATATTTCTCTTATTAATAATATATAAAATTTATAAATCTGTCATTCATGTATCATCCAATACACCACCATGTAAGTTTTATTATATTATATATAAGATAATTGTGATTTAATTCATAACTTATTAATAATTACAAATTCTGAAAATTTGATTTCGTTTTTATCTTTTTATTTATTTATTTTTTTTTAATTTAATATTTAAATATTAATTTAAATATTTTATTAATATAATAGGCCTTCCGCGATTGCCAATAATAGGATCTTATTGGCATTTATTATGGCATGATTATGAATACCCTTCTAACGGTGTCATATATTATGTAAATAAATTACAATCTAAAATTGTTACATGCTATTTCGGTAGTTATAAAACTATCATCGCGAACGATTATAAAAGTATTAAAGAAATATTAACAAAACAAGAATTTGATGGAAGACCGATCAACGTAGAAGTTCTTGAAAGAACATTTGAAAAATCGTTAGGTATTTTCTCATGAAAAAAATTAGATACGTATCAAATAAGAATAGGAAAATTAATGCATTTGATATTTTCAATTAAAAATTTCAGGTATCTTTTTTACTGAAGGTACATTATGGCATGAACAAAGAAGATTTGCTCTCCGACATATGAGGGATTTTGGATTTGGTAGAAGACACGAAATATTTGAAACCAATGTGATGGAAGAAATAGCAATTTTAGTTGATATGTTAAAAGAAGGCCCCATTAACGATGAAGAAAAGGTATTTTTAATGAAAATTATTTCAAAATTATAAAATAATTATTTAATGATTTTAATAATAAAAATAAAAAAATAAGTTAATAAGAAATAAATTCATTAGAAATTTTTAAAAAATGGATATGCATGTTTTCCGGATATCCTATATCCATATGTTACAAACGTTATATTGAATATAATGTTTGGTGAAAGATATGATCGTTCAAAATATCATAAATTGATATATTTTTGTGAATCTTCTATGATGTTTCAAAAAGCACTTGATACTAGTGGAGGAGCACTTTTCCAATTTTGGTTCTTGAAATATTTCGGAAACATGTTTGGATATACAAATGCAATAAAAGGAACTTGTCGAATGATCAATTTCGTTAAGGTATTATATTTATATATATTTTTAATTTATTTTATATATTATTTTTCATATATTAAATAATTGTTAAAATTCCATTATTATAGGAGTATATAGACAACAGAAAAGACTTAGATGATTGTGATAGAGGTTTCATTGATCGATATTTAAAAATTTTAAAAGAAAAGAATAATATAACGTCTACTTTCTCTGAGAAACAATTTATTATGACTCTTGTCGATTTCATGTTTCCAGCTACATCTGCATTACCAAGTGCTCTTGTACATGCAATCAAGTTTGTAATGCATCATCCAAGAGTAATGAAAAATATACAAGAAGAAATAGATAGAGTAGTTGGAACTGGAAGACTTGTTACATGGAATGATAGGAAGAGGTATAAATTCTATATAGAGGTATAAATTAATATAAAAAAAAAAGAATTCGTTTTAAGATTAAAAATCTTTTAGTTTACCATATACTGAAGCAACAATACGCGAATCACTCAGATGCGAAACATTGACACCATTTAGCGTATTTCATAAAACGTTAAAAAAAACTACTCTCTGTGATTATGATATTCCTAAAGATACATTGGTTGTCACGAATTTAGCAGCGCTAAATACTGATCCTGATTTATGGGGTGATCCCGAAAATTTTAGACCTGAAAGATTTCTTAATGAAAATAACGAATTGTGTAAAGATTTCACTTTTCCATTTGGATTTGGTACGTAAATAATTCTAGATGAATTTTAATAATATACGATATTATTGATAAAATTTTTTTCTCTATACATTAGGACATAGGGTTTGTGCGGCTGAAACTTATTCAAGATATAATATGTTTGAGGTATTCGCAGTATTAATGCAGAATTTCAATCTCTCGTTTGTGAAAGGTGAACCGACAGGACTTAGTGATAAACAATCAGGTTTAATCGTTACTCCTAAAAGAACATGGATTCGAGTAAAAGTACGTAATATTTAAAAAAACAATTCATAATATTGAATATCAAACATAGAAATAATAAGTTCATAATTATATACAATAATATAAATCGTATAAATAATTTACAAATAATAATATTTAATATTTTAATTTGCATTATATATATATATATAATATATATTATTATATATATTTTTATTACTTCTCTTTTTGATATATTAATATTGAGCAAATATATATAATATATTTATCAATTGTAATGTAAAGTCACATTGAGATTCATAATATTATGTATCATTATCAATCATTATTAATCGGTTAATTTATAATTTCTATATTAGCGATAATTTATAATTACGGTCAAATGTCAAAGATTATTTAAGATATTAAGATTAAAGTTAATGTTATTATTTCTGAATAAATTTGCAATTTAATTTAATTTTATGATTTTGATTGAATAATGATGGTAATGATATAATTGATGCGTAACTAATCTTTAGCTAATGTTTAATGAATATATATATTTATTTTAAATAATTATTTGATAAATATTTATTGATTTTTCCATATATATTTTTTTGTTATCAAATTTTTTTGAAGATATCGCATTTTTAATATGATTAATCTCAATATTAAGAAAAAAATATATTTTTTTATTTCAATAAAATAAACAATAAAATAAACTATTAGGATTAAAAATAAGACATCATATGCAATTTGTATACTATAAATTTATTTCATAATTTGTGACAATTAAAGACAAAAATTACATCGAATAAACGTAATTAATATACAAAGGTTTTTAGAAGATTGGTCTACAAACAAATATTGGTTATATTGTAATGATTTGAAAAATTTTCAATATTTTTAAAATATTCAGTATCCATAAAAGAAAGATTTTATATACAAATATTATAATTCTAGAGAAAGGGAAGATATGCTTAATCTTTTATGTTGTAAAAATGAAAAATTTACTTAATTACATTTTAATATTCATCTTCCCAAATTTTTTATCCTTTTTTCTTTCTTTTTTATACAGAATACTTATTGATTTTATAATCTTCTGGTATTGAAAATAAATAAAAATCAATTATATTTTTTCTACATGTTACATATGCATTATAATAATAACTCTTATTTTATAATTAGAAAGTACTATATAAATGCAATTATGAATGTAAAACATTGAATTTATATGTATAATATATTGCATTACCAATGAAAATTTTTACAATTAAATAAATATGTTAATAAATTTCAAAAAAAAAAATAGAGTATTACTTGAAAATAAAAACATTTGTACATTAAATTTTGCCAATAATGGCAGAACATTTTTTAATACAGTACAAAAGTACTGTTGCTTTACACATATATCTTAATTTTTTTTTTTATTACTATTGTAAATATACATATAATTCTGCAAAACTATTATATAATCTCTTGCATACAAAAGATTTTTCAATTGGTATGAAATCAACAAGACATAAAATCACATTGTACATAGCTCCATATGTATATTTGAATTATCAATTAAGATTTAATTTTACAATGCACTTTTTTGTAGATGTTCAGATAGTCTATTTCATATAATTTCCTATATGAAATATATTTATTCTCTGTGTACCATAACATATAGTCCCAAACATATTAATATTGCATATTTAAATTTGGGATATTCATTCATATATATTGTAATCATTCCTACATATGGTAAAAAACCTCTTGCTCTACCAACAACATCTTTATGTGTCAACCATAATTGACCAGTTACATATAAACCTCTATCATCAACAGAATTATTATCACCCTTTGTTAAAAATTTAACAGTATTATTTTGGTCGCCCCTAAAAATATATTAATTATATTTTCAATATTTTAATTTGTATTTATAATTTTTATTTTCATTTTATTTTATTAAGATTTAAAAAATACTTACTTTTCATGTATCTTAATTACTCTGTGTACAATTGGAATATATCTACCTTCAACTTTAAAAACAAGGATTTCTCCTACTCTGACTGGCTCATCTTGGTAATTGGTTAAAAATAATAAATCCCCCCTATGAAATGCTGGTTCCATACTACCACTATAATATTAAAATTATGTTTTTAAAATACTAAAACATTAAACTAAATCTATATATAAGTTAAAGGAATAAAATTAAATACAAAAATATAATTAATATATAATTTATAATATATATAATTAATTATATATATAATTTTATGAAATATTAAATATTTTTAAATGTTTTATATAATTTGATTTTTATAAAAAATAATTATTGTGTTTATAATTTTTAAATAATTTAAAATATATATGAATTTTAATACATTAGAGAATTGATTGAAATAATCATATCTAATATATAGTAATATATAAGAAAATAATTCCATGTTTTATATAAAATCAATAATTTTATATTTTAAAAGTAAATTTATTCGCGCGAAAGGTGCATCAAATACAACTATTAGGTTAAGTATTCAAATACCTGAGAACCACAACGATTGGACTTTCGGCACCTGTTACAACCATTAAGCCTTTCCAAATCATCAAGGCGGATGAAACGATCATACCAAAACTTAACATTTGATACAGGAACTGCAAAAAGATTCATAAAATAGTTATAAAGATCATTTCTTTCAAATGACCATATGTACTCTAAGAATCTATGATAATTCAAATAAGAAAATTCTTTTACCTGCCGTTTATTCATTCGCCGCACATCATCGAATATAGATTGCAACATGGTTACAACTGTTTTTATAAAAATTACAATAACCAAGTAAACAAAACAATTTCAATTCTACTTCACTTGAACACAACCGGCAACAACCAGTCAACGTATCACCACGTCACATAAACAATGAACAAGGAATGCCGGAACAAGTGGAATCGTTCAAATGCAATTCACTTACTTTATGCTATCGCGTGAACTCAGCTTTAAGAGAATTGTAAACGAAATTCAAATTGTCCATGTATTTTTTCCTTGCATATATATATATATTCTCTTAATCAATTCGATAATACATTTCGCCTTCAGATGTTAAAAAATCTTTCGCTGATGAAGCACTAACTTACCATTAATCTATGATCATATGTAAATTTGCAGAAAAGAATATTGAATTTAGGAAAAAATAGTAAAGATTTCAAGATTTCAAAAAAAAATTTTTACGAATGAGAATGGTTTTTGCATCTTAAACAATTAATATCTCATGTATATCTCATGTATATTTCATAATATACGTAATATATATATATATATATATATATATGTATATGTATATATTGTATTTTATTTTTTATTACAATATTCATATTCAATATTTATTCATTGAAGATAATATATATATATTATAAATAAAATAAAATAAAATACAACAAAAATTATATATAATTATAATAGTATGAAGAAAAATTTACATACAAAAAAATTTATTTTATATGTGGAATATATATTCATACATAAATATATTGGAATATTTATTTTATTGAAAGCAGATTACATATTTAAGAGATTTAAATTACAAGAAATTAGGAATGATGTACTCATATTTAAATTGAGATATATATTTTATAGTTCCTAATAATAATAGTAATTTTGTATTAAAAGAATATATTTAGACTTTTGTAATTCCAATAACACCACAAGCAAGACGAGCACCAGCATTTCCTGTAGTTTTTGATAATTCAACACCACCTTTACCAAGATCATCTGGATCAGCATGAACCTTATCAAAATAAAAAATACAAAATCAAATTGTATTTAATATATATATAATATAATTAATTATAGTAATTTAAAAAATATATTATGTAATACTTACTACAAGTGTTCTGCCAATAACACTATGTGGTCCTTGAAGTTGAATAGTTTTATCTGTTATATTAACGTTAGCAATACCACTTGCATCTGCTTCAATATTTCCCAAATCTCCAACATGACGTATATCTGAATCAGGCCCACCATGATCCTTTCCTAAAGGATTGAAATGTGCACCAGCACTTGTACAACCTGTTAAAAAGATATATATACAATATTATATGTATATAAAATATATATATATATATATATATATACACAACATATATAATAACTTCATATGTATTTATATGTACTTATTATTGCTATATATATATATGTTCTTATTATTATTTACTTATCTTATATTACTTTACATATTATTTCTGAAATTACATTTCAGAAAGGTTTATTAAAGTCTCAAGACTTTTTTTATAATTTTTAACAACAATTAAAAAATTAAATAATATTTTATTGAATATATATACCATTAGTGTTATCGCCGAATTCATGAACATGAAAACCATGCAATCCTTTTTTTAAACCGGTTACTTGACCCGTGACCTTCACAGAATTAGTACTCTCCTATGCAAGAATTATATTATAAAAAATAAATATAAAATATTATGATAGAATATTATGTTGAATATTAATCAAAAAAATTATTTTACCGGTTGTTCAAAAAAAATAGTGCCTTTGACTTCACCCTGAAGAACACACACTGCTTTAGTCATTTTCGAAAATTTCTCGACTACACGGAACGACAAGTGCTTCTAAGATATTGCACCGTAAGAATTCTCGTGTAGTTATAAGATGTACTTATGTTTTGCTGAATCACGATCACAAATAAGCTAATGTATCGTAATGAATATTTCAGCTGATAAAATGATGACCTTCCTGTTTAACAAGCACAGATAAACTATAAAATAGATTTTAACATTCAATGTATTTTTTGTCCCATGGTAGGACCTCTTCTATAACTTTAGTATCATTTTCAATATTATCGATTTAATTCAGAATAAGATTGTAGAATAAGATAACATTAGAAATAGTTGAAATTGAACTTAATTTCAATATAAAATTACAAATAAAAAAAAATCTTGTAATATAAAAAATAATAATAATACAAAATATAAATATATCATAGTGGAAAAAAGACAGAAATAGAGTAAAAATTCGGAATCATCATCATCATCTATAGAATGTCTTAGAATCTAAGACTTAAATAAGACATAAATACAGATAAAGAAAGAAAGATAGTAATAGGCTATTGACTATTAACACTATCTTTTGAATATTTTTAGAAAAATATTTTGACACTTTTAGTGTCAAAATAGTGACAAAATTATGATTTATTATTTAGATTCAAATTTGAAATGAATTCAGTATTAATTAATAGAATATTTATGTATTATTTTTTTATATTCATATAATTATTTTTATATTATTTTTAAACAATATAATTTTAATTAATAAATAATTAATATTAAATATAAAATTAAATATAGAATTAACTTAATAGATATGTTATAAAATAAATAACAATAATTAATTTGAAAAAATAAAATTTATAATTTGTAACATGAACATAATTTTGAATTATTTATTGATTTATAATTATTATATTATATTAATATTTTTGTTTATACAGAATAATTTATTTTTCTTAATTTTTATGTATAAAAGATATATAAGATATGTAAAATAATTTAAAATATTTTTATTGTAATATTCAATAATTGAAAATAACGATTATCGATAATTTTGTACTCGAAATATATCGAAATTGATAACTGAAAGTTAAGTTCAGTATTATATGTTTTATAGACAGTGATTGCATTAGAAATAATTTATTTATTTTAAATTAAACTTGGATATAATCTCAACTCAGATATAAAAATGCCTGGAGTAGAACATCGTAGTCAAACTCCATTCATACAATGGCTTCGAGATTTTGGTCGAGGTGTAAGCAAAATTTAGGTTCATTTATTGTTAATTTTATATTGCTTTTATATTTGTTTTAAATATTATGTAATTTGTTATTTTTTTTATGAACTTATAGAAAATATATTTCTTATATGATAATTCTGTCTAATATATTTAATAATTTTTCAATAAAAACAATTTTTATTTTTTAAGATCATAATATGTTATGTATTATTAATAGAATATTAAATATTATTATACATCAATTTATTTGAAGATTTAAAGTAAAATAAATGACATATAATATTATCATATAAAATGTAATAGAGAAATATAAATAATATAAATAATAATAAAATGTAATAAAATATAAATAATATATAATATAATATATATAAATAAAATATAAAATGAATTTATGTAAAATATAATATACATTATAGAGAAAACATGTATCAAGTTTAAGACATGCAGATGGTATTGCTGCACGTACACAACCACCTCCACATGTACCTGGAGGACCATATCATAAAAGCTCAAAAGTATATTACTATACTCGTGACGCTAGACGTCTTGTACAACCACCAATTGAAATATATACTGAAGGTCATTTAGAAACAAGGTGATTATTTACATTTACATTATACATAAAAGACTAGAAAGTAAAATATAATGCTTTAAATTGAATTTCTTATATAATGCTATTTAATTTATTAATTTATTAATTTAAGTATATTGTGTATAATTTCAGGAAAATTGATACAACTAAAATAAAATTAGAGGCATTATCAAAATCAAAATAAAATAAAAAATGAATGCAATGAAATAAATTTTAATTGTATTCAAATTGTAGTATAATAGATAATATTAATTTAAATAAAAGTTATACAATAGTGTTAAGATTTTTATAATTAAACTAGAGATTTATTGAATTATTTCCCATTTAATATTTAACCGACAACAGTACATAAATAATAAACAGAGGAATGTTTTTTATGTATACACATTTTCTGCTTTATAGCAGACATAAAATAATTTTTTCACTTTATAATACATTATTCTTACATACATACAGAGCACAATGTTTTCATAAAATTTATATAAGTCTAAGAATAACATTGACACTAAGAAGTTTGTACAAACAGCAAATGTAACATTGCTGTATCTAACAAATATAATACATAATATATTCATTCAACAATTTTTGTAGAAATAATGAATTTCTTCATTATAAATTAACAATTGTCAATGAAAATCACTTAGAAGTAGAATTTAATAGGGAATTTGATTCTGATAATACTGTATCATATCATAAGTTTTCGTACGGAAATTGAGGTAGCTGTTACGTATTACGTTGAGCATATAGGCCGCTGCTTCGCGATCAGTTGCTGTCGGCACAAATCTACCGCGTAAAAGTTTTATTGTTTGTCCACGGAAACATGGCAATCCAGTATCAAGCATTAAAGAAACTAAAGAAATAATAGCTTCTTGATAAGGTCTGTAAAAATTATGACTTAATTAGAATTTATAATTAATTCGAAAATTAATTATTTGGAAAAAAAAATAAATCTAATTGAATTATTCAATCAATTATTTCTATATGTTGAATCTTTTATAAATTAATTGAATATAATATGTTTAAAATTTAAAAATCTAACAAATCTTGTAATTCCAAATTTTTCTGAATTTATTTTCATTTACCTTACGGCAAGGAAAGCCTGTACACATAATTCCATAAACCAACGGAAAGGTGCAGCTTCCATTTTACCTCCCATTACAAGCACCATTTCATCAGTCAGCTTAATATCAGGTTCAAACCCTAAATTACCTCCAGGCGAACTTTCAAACATAAATCCAAAATCGATATGTATAATATGGCCTTCAGTATCCAACATAATATTACCATTGTGGCGATCTTTTATTTGTAAAAGATATGTAATAACGCTATAGGCAGCCATCGATTTTACGAAATTTCGACGTACGTTTTGGAATTCTTTCGTTGTTTCATCCCCATAACGTGTGATAAAATATTGATGCATATCAATATCAGTGGTGCGACCAAGTTGATCACGTGAAGTTGCATTAGGTACACATTCTATGACACCACACTGAAACATGTATTCTTTATATTAATACTTTATATTAATACTTTATAATATAATAATGGTCATAAAAAATTTAGATTAAAATTATTCCTTATAATTAAAAAATAAAATAAAGTAACTTACCCCAGGTGCTGTAGCTACTACTCTATATGGGAACAAAAATAAATTTAATCCAACTTTTTGAAATATATTCTTGAAAATACTGATTACTTGTAAAGCTAACATATCTTGTCTAACATCATCTCCAACTTTAAAAATAGCAGCTTGCCATGTCTCTTTTTCTGATTCTCTTTTATTAACATCCATTTTACCATTAGCTGATACTGCTAATGCAATATTTTCTAATTCGTTAATTCCATATTTTCGTACTTTAAAGCGCGCTAAAAATGGTGCTTTTGCAGCACTATAAATAATAAAAATATATAGAATAATAATAACTAAAATGCAAAATATAAAGAAAATACTTCAATGTATTTACCTTTGCATAGGAGTCCCACTTTGATAATCAATATCAATTACCATGGCTTCAGGATTAGATGGTAAATAGCAACTTGGTTGTACTTTGATTTTTGATAAAGCTTTTAAACATGCTGCTTTACGTTCTGGACCTTTAGGATATGGTCTTATTTCACCTGAAATATTTGTAATCTTTTCAAAAAAGTCGAATTCTCTTTCATAAAATTGTTTTGCTGGGCCAGATAATGATCCTAAAATACTTTTTACAAGCGAATCTAATATATCATACAGAATAGGATCTTTAATTTGTTTATCTTCATCTAAATACATATTTGTATACATATTCCAAATTAATTGATGTGCCACTACCTGCATTAAAAATTAAACATAACAATAAATTTTAATTCAAAAATAATTAAATGATGTAAAATATAAATGATGTATATATAATATTCACTTGTGAACGTTTAGCGATTTTTTTTATAAATTCTATTACATAACCCATAGTATCATGGCGTACAGCTTGTACAAGTTGCGGTATGTAGAAAAGTACAGCATCTGCTGGATAGCTACTTAGCACCTCTACTGCATATTGTGCAGATATTGGATGATGAGGAAATTGACGAGAAAAATATGCTAAAGCTTGAATAGGTGATACTCTTTCCCATGTTAGCATATATACCAACTAAAACATATTGAAATAGTAAATTACAATATATAGTTAATAAAATGTAATAAAAGATTTTTAAAAATAATCTTTAAAAAATATCTTACTTCAGGTACATCATTAAGTAATGTATCAGTTGTGACAAGATATTGTAAAGCTTCTGGAACATGCATAACTGGTACAGGTTTAAGACGAACAAGACCACATACTTCTTTAATAATAATTTCTGAATTTTTTAATCGAACTGGTAAAAATATAGCAAGTACAGGACTAATTTCCCATGCAAGCCGCGTATATTCACGCCATCGATCATTCATACCCTTAGCGCGCCATTCTGCAATACTCGATTCACCAGGAAGTGCAAGTTCTTGTCTTCCACTAGGATTTCTCCAAACCTATAATTTAACATATTAAATAATGTTGAAAAAATTAAAAAAAATATATAAAGTGTAAAATTAGAACTTACTAATAACATTTCTATTTCAACTGCCAGCAGTTCAAGAATCAAATTTCTTTTCTTTATATAGTCCTTTACAAAAACATTAGCATTCATAACACGTTTGCTACGATTACTACGTTTACCTAATGTATTACTACTAGTAGACATTGGAACTGTATTAATCCATACGCTCGTCGGTGTTTTTGAAAATTCACTATTAGTAGTACCTAAAGCTGTACTTAATGAACTAATTGTTTCGCTAGGTCCAAAACCACCAGTTGAATATGACTGAGGTGTTAAAATTTCAAATTCACTTTCGTTACCAGTCATTACTAAATATTTTTTATCACTATGCATTACCTAAAATATGATAAAATAAGTATTATTAAGCAAATAGAAACAGATAGAAAAAATCTAATATTTTTCTAAATTGAAAATATCTTACTAACTTGCCAAAATCGTATAAGCGTAACTAAATCTTCATGTAATTGCTCTAATTCTTGTGTTGGTACTTGACGATCTCGACAAAAATAATCTAAACAATTACAATATACACGTTCTCGTAACACGTTTTTGCTTAATGTTCTATAAATAAAATTAATTATTTGATTATTCAATAAGTTAATATTTAGTAATATTGAATTTTGCATGAATACTGAAATTTGCATATATATATGAAATACAATACCTTGATAAAATATCTCCTTGAAGAAGAAGTAATCCACAAGAAAGTAATTTAAAGCGTACTCCAATTGCGGCGACATGGCGGCTCATTCCAGGTTCCTCACCAGAAGCACCAACAGTCATGGGCAGTGACCGATGTAATAATATTACAATCATGTCAACTGTCTCCTGACAGCAATATTTAGCAGTTTCAATTAATTCTACGATAAATGTAACCCAAATATCGTGAGGTTTGACTTGGGGAGGATTTGGACCTAACTTGCAACCTTCGTATATTGCCAGAGGACTAACTTCTTCTTCATCTGGTGCAAACAAACCCATTCTTTTGTCAACAGTATATTGCCATGCAACAAACATTTCTTGTAAGAAACGTAATTTTAAATCTGGCCGTACAGTGAGTATCCATTGCCAACATTCAACTGCTGTAATCATAGCTGCAGGAGTGAACAATTCAATCTGCGAAGAAGCTACTGTATGTAACAAACGTCTATGTGTTCCTGAATAGAAATTATAATATTGCAAATTAATATTGCAAATATAAGAAACAAGAATACCAATTTTCAAAAAATTATTATTGCAAATTACCAGGCATAGATATTAATAATGCAGTAGCACGCCAGAGAGCGCTACGATGCGTAACATCATTTCGTGCACGGCAAGCCATCCATACAGCATCGATTAATAAATCTACAACTTTATTCCTAATTTCTTCGAATGATATTTCAGAAGTAGATGATTCGGTTTGCGCCAATGATAACATTCCTGCTATTTCTCCGGCATATCGTGATCGTGTTGACATCATTGACAGAAGCCAAGAACTGGCTCCTTTTGGACCTTTTGGTCGCTTATCTAATGAATTGGTCTATAAGAAATATATTTTATTATTTTTAAAATAAGATATTTTAAAATATTAGAAATATCATTTTACATTTGGTAAGGCCGAGGTTGGAATAGCAAGATCTACAAATTCAAGAACTGAATCAGTAGATAAACATAAACCAGAATGATGTTTTAATCCAGAAGATGGAATTTGATTTACATATTCTTGTAAATGTGATCTAGTAGCTTGAGGCGCCCATTTCATAGCTTCTTGTACTATGCCTTTACACCTTGCAGTAAAATCTTTTACAATTATCTACATAATATAATTTAATTTTAGTATTTGTATGATTAATATATCTAATATTAATATAATATATATATACCTCTCTAGCTTCGAGTGTATCCATTAATTCAATACTATATGGTGTACTAGGTATTCGTAAAATTGGTGTTTCTTCATTTGGATCAATTTGCAATGAAAACGATAAAATCTATATACATACAAATAATAATTTAATTGAACATAATAGCATAAATATAGAATAAAAAAGAATTCATACTTGTAATATATCCAACATGCTCCAAAGCACTTTACAATTCCATAAAAGATGTGGAAATGCATCCACCAATGCACTAAG